CGCCATTCCGAAATCGCAGGAGGGTCGGTGTAATGCACTACCAAAACGCCCATAACTAAGAAACAAATGCTAATTCGATGATGCCGGCTGGCACACTGATTCACTATGAATGTAGGCCTCACCCCCTAGCGCCCTCTATTGACACAGTCTGGAAACTTTGTGATCGCACCTCGTATGATGATGAACTTCCAGGTTCCATAACAATAAATTTTTTGACAAGGTGAATAACTATCAAGTTTTCAACAAAGAACCATCTTAATGTTAATTATTTTCCCACATGTCTACATCTTATTTCCAGGAGGTAGAGCCAATGTATAAAGAGAGTGATCATATCCATATCATAGCCCTGAGCACAGCTTTGAATGTTGGAGTTCGCGTGCGGTACATGGATCGAGGTGAAGCATCTGAAGTGATCGCACATGACTTCCCAGAGGGGAGCCACCCAGCTGTCCACCTCCTGTATCGGCCAGGCCACTATGACATCCTCTATCCATGATCTATAGTATATAGGTATCGCCTACTGCTGTGTGTGATGCAGTTCATTGTAGCCAACCTATGAGTGACTGCAAGTGAATATCAGCATTTCTCTTTGAACTGATCTTTGCATTTAATTTATAAATATTATAGTGATTATTAAGGTATAACTGACTACAGTGTGTCAGATGTGTGACTTGCGTCACTGTAAAGAGTGTGGCCGTTACTGTGTCTTGCTCGTTGCTGTTTACTTTCTCTCTTTTTTGCACTAGTTAGACTCATGTGTACAGTCAAGTTCTGTTTTCTGTGCTGTATGCTTCAAAACTTAGTGCTAAAAATGTACAATATAATATTAAGATTTGTGTTTGTTGCAGTTGACATTTTAATCAAACCTTGTTTATTTCAGAAATGAAAAGTATCTATGCAAATGATTGTTATGAATTGGTTCCAGCAGTTTCTTGACAGTGTTGATTCTTGAATATTATGTAGTTCTTGTATTTATTGATAAACCCAGGAAAAATGCAAGGGATGAATGATTGTTCCATAGTTACCTCAGTACATTCATTGCCAGATATTTAAATTTCAGATGGCTCAACATGCTGACACTAACATTTTTAAATTAAAAGCAAACACTTCCGCTGAACATATATCAAAGTTAGTATGTATTTTTAGCCATCAAAGCTTGTTCTGTGATGGTCATGTGGGAAATGGATATCTTTTGTAGAAAAGACAACATATTTTGATGACTGTCAGTGACATTGCAAGTCGTATTACTGTGGATAACTGTAAGCAAGATCAATAGGAAGTTGTGTGCAGATTCCCATATTTAGACCAGAAGGCACGCATAGTGTTCAAGCCTGGGTGACGGAGAGGACAGGTGCAGAGACAAGTTTGTTAAGTGTGGTTCTCTCACACGAAAGTGGCGAGGACTACTCGAATCATTAATGTAGTAATCTCCAAACTTTTTATCATCACCGAATTGTTTTCATCATGAAAAATGTGGACAAAATCCAACAACACACAAAAAAGACATACAGCAGTTAAATTGTATAGAAGTAATATAATGAGCCTCGGACAGGCGGACCTAACAGTAGGACCGAATGGAAGAGGAGAATTGTGGAGGCCGTGGACTGAATACGGACCGGAGAGCCATAGAAGAAGAAGAAGAAGAAGAATATTTAATTAACCTGTTCCCTCAAATACTTAATGTCAGCAGATGATGATTTCCTGTTTAGATTCCCTATTTTGTTGGTGGTTGGCAAGGGTCAGGGCCTCCGTGATTTGAAATTATGGTGAATGCTCCTTCAGCACTTCTGTAGTGTGGTCGCCACACACTTTTGAGGTGACGACCGAGACATGCGGCAAAGTGTTTGTTTTCTTTGTTTTGTTGAGACATACGTGCACATATTCTGTGAAAAATGAGTACAAAAATGCTTCTAAAAAGGTTACTCGAAGAATAAGAAGAAGATGATGTGTTGCTGTGTTATTTGTTGCGAAAGAAACAAAGAAAACCTATGAGTTCAATATTCAAAACCAGACGTGAAGAAGGATCTTTCTGTCTGTTAATAAAGAAACATTTATCATTTTCTGCTACTAATTCTACCAATTGCTCATCTTGGTCACCAGTAAATCTAATTTCTGCCATTATTTTACTCAACAACACACGTGCTGCCTGAGCCCGTCGCGAGACACTACTGGTCCGAGAGCGGTCTCCTGTGCTTTGTCTCTGTCTCGCGCTCGTAATTGTACTTCATACGATTGTACAGAGAGCAGACAGGAAGCGACCAGTCTCGGTCTCTTAACTCTGACGCCTGCCTTGGTCGCTTGTCTCTGTCGCGTGCAGCCAAATTGTAACTTTAGATAATATGCAGCACACATACTTTCCATGTGTGGCTGGACATTCCTTTATTCTTAATTTACTTTGTCTTTTCCTTTTTGAGTTGAACCCATGGCAGTAATGTGTACTGCAGAGTAACATACAAGTTCAACGTTGACGATCCTTCCTGCCCTTGGGCTTATATTTAAAGGGCCCAGCATCTCTAGAGTCGCACTACAGCCTTTTGGAAACAGCAGCCAACTATGATGTGTTTGTGGGCAGTGGTTTAAAAGATGTAGATCAAGGATTGCAAACTCTTCCTCATCCCTTTTTATTGACTCAGACCACGTGTCAATAAATGAGAACAGTTTTTTTAAACCCATAGAAATTTATTAAAATTCATACTAAATTAAGCCTAATTTTGCATATAGGTTCATGTGTTACTCATTTAAAAAGCTTTCCCACTATGTGCCATGTAGGCGCTTGTGGGGAGAGAAGGTATAGCTCCTACTCATTCTTAAACTCAGCACTAGGTGGGGGCGAGTGGTTAGCATTATGCCCCGGCTGCGCTTTATCCCCAGGAAAGGACCCCGGCACCCATTGGATAAGGTGCTGCGTGGGCCCCAGACCCAGTCTGGATGCAGAGGCTAGAGGAAAAATTCTCTGCCCCCGTTGGGGAACGAACCACGGTCGTCCAGTCCGTAACCATGCATTACTTATTTCCTTTGTCAAAAGTATTGTTAATAGAATATTTTATATAATATTTTCATTTACATTAATAGAAACAAGGCACAGTCATGACATTCTGTCCCCCTTTCTCTGGTATAACTATAATCAGTAGATTTTGTTCTCAAATACATGCTGGAAATGGAAATCATTGCAAAAACCGTTTCGTGTAATGACTTGGCCATAATAGTTGCATATCCAAGTTAGGGGAATGATTAATATACTTTATTATACACGCCTGCTAATGAACTCGTGACCTACAAAACAAACATCTGGCAGAGTGCGAACGAGCAGCTGATCGCATGTGACAGTGGTTGACAGTATGTTGAGATGTCATGTTACCAATGGCGGTTCGTGAGTCTGAGCAGTGGTAGTACTGCACACTTCCTTTGCGTATTATCATTATTAGAACAAAATATAGTCAGCACACAGAATTATTAAACAGTTGTCAACATTAACCACGAAACAGTTTGTGATAAGAGAGCAGTCTAAGACACGCGGGACCGTGCAAGGGCGTTTTCTATAAGCCGGCTGCGGGGACCGGCTAGCCGCGCTGAAATCCTTGCAGCCGGGTGACAGCCACGTTCTGCTTCGCACTCCTCGCCCGTGGACTTACTATCAGTTCAGCCGATTAGTGGATGACAACGTAAGGGGAAATATTAAAATAATGATATAGAGGAAATAAAGTGTTACAAATTATATAAACACAAAAAATAAAT